CCATGTTTTTCGGTTTTTCTTTATAATTATTAAGATCTTTGCTCTGAGACTGTGCGTATGCTTGTAACAAGATGATATATCATTATGTGGAGGTTTTTACAAGTTCAGTGTATGTTGAGATCTGGTCTATATCGAAATCCCGACAACCATAATCCCGACTATATCGAAATCCCGACAGTGTCGTTTATTATTATAATGTATACAATAACATTTTTAAATTATTCCGAAACGTAGTCACCATCTATTATTGTTTAACTATCATTTAATATTAATAACAATAAATTATTATGAATAATTCAATGAAATCAAATACAATAAATAACAACAATTAATAATCTCAACTCCCCCCCGTTATATTCTAGAAATAAAAAAAAACTCGAGCGATGAATTTTTTAAAATTATCTTTATTATAATACATAAATGAATAAAATAAATATAATGAAACACTATGAGCTATTCCGCGAAGATAACTCATTAATGTTCTGTTTTGTCGATCATTTACAATAAAAGACACTGTCGGGATTTCGATACTGTCGGGATTTTGATACAGTCCGGATTATGGTTGTCGGGATTTCGAATGTCGGTGTTTCGATACAGTAGGGATTTCGATACAGTCGGAATTTCGAACGTCGGGATTTTGATATAGACCACTTTGGGAATCACTGGTTTAGAGGAAATGATAAATTATTGAAAAATGATTTGTTTTCACTTTCTTTTGTTCCAAGGCACACTCGAACCTATAGTTAAATTTTCATGACACACTTGAAGCTACAGTTAAATTTTTGATAGATACTTAAGCACTTTGGTTTTTTGGTTTTTTGGTAAAACATAATATAAACAATAATAATTATACATAACAATACATTTACTTCAAATTGAATGAAAAGTAGTATTGATTTATTGCAATTTGTAATGTAATGTATTTGATGCAATTTTCACAATGAAAGAATGAAAGAAAGAAATTTATAATTAACATCTTTATTAATTAAATTATGCATATTCATTATTTTTATGAATTAATAAAAATTTTACTTTTCAATCAAATAAAAAAAATGATTTTAATTTCTTATTAATATATGAAAATATTAATTTTATTGGTCTATAATTATTGGTCTATTAACCAAAAAAGCTATTGAATTTTTTTGTAAAATTAAACTAATTTTTCACACTCGAACTTGTAGTTAAATTTTCATGAAACACTTGAAGCTACAGTTAAACTTTTGATAGATACTTAAGCACTTGGGTTTTTCGTGAAATTTTCATTATTTATGAAGTGCAGGAAATGTTTTGTAATGAAATATCAAAATCAGTGTGTTATCTCGGTTGTAATGAATGTAACTGGATAGTTTTATGAATATTGCAAACGATATGGTAAATAATGTAAATCGTTTTTGCTCGGATGGAAATGCAGAATACACTAAGTACTATCATGCGTTTGTCATCTGCAGAAGCATAAGCAGAAGCAATAGCGGAGGTGCAGAAGAGGAATTAAAAAGTCTCCCGTTCGTTTGATTTTCCTCGAAGGTTGAGCCCCTTTGCACCGCATAACTGCTCGACGACGGAATTAAAAGAATGTATTACAGTTTAACATTTAATCCAAATGTTGATCGGACAGGCGGCTATGCCACGACGACGACGATGCTACACGCTTGTCTACTTCTTGCTCTTTGCTTCTAGAGACTCTTGCGCTTCTGGTTCTTCCTCCTTGTCTTCTGCCGCCGCCGCCGCCACCGCCGCCGCTTCTGGCCTCGGCTTATTTATGGCAGTGCGTAGATGTACAGTATCGAACCGAGCCGTGCACTTGTGTTGTTGCATTCCATATAAATTATGGCCATTGTGCTAAATAATTTATGTCAAACGCTCTTAAGCTCTTCAACAACGACCGCAACAACAACAACAACAGCAACAAAAAATCTAACTTTCCGGTCAAATCCCATTCGCACAAACGCATCTATTTCAATAATACACAAATATTATCAAATTTAAACTTTGTTTAAAAATATAAACAATCTGTATGAAAATTTATGATGAACTTATTATATTTTCTTTTATGATGTCTGGATTAATTATTGCAAATTTCAATGAAAAGTTATTAATTATAAATTTAAGTCATTTAGAATCTCAATTTATGTTGAACTAATTCAAAACGTTTCTAATTAAATTTCTGCATTAATAATTTATTGAAATCAATGTGAATAAAATTAAAAGAAAAAAATATACAATTGAAACTATTAATTGTATATTTTTTTCTTTTAATTAATTTTTGACTAAAAGTAAGAAGTAAAAGTAGTTGCAAAATTTGTATTCGAAATTATTATCAAATCGTAAATAGTTTGTTTATTTTGTTTGCAAATTTCAATGAAAATTGATTATAAACAAAACGTTATCAAAATATATGATATGCTTTAATAAATATTTATCATGTTTCAAAATATAAACAATCTGTATGAAAATTTATACTTATACAAAAATATTAATAATTATAAATAGTTTTCTTTTATGGATTCTGGATTAATTATTGCAAATTTCAATGAAAATTTATTAATTACAAGTTTAAGTCATTTAGAATCTCAATTTATGTTGAACTAATTCAAAACGTTTCTAATTAATTTTCTGCATTAATAATACAATTCTTACAAATTTTGTAATCATAAATGAATGTGTACGAAAATATGAATTAATGCATTAAAATAATCAAAATATTTTGATAAAATGCACTTAAAAGGCGAGAAGAAGAAATACGTGTTCAATTAGTTTGTTGTGGGGTCAATTTTTCTTTCATTTTGACACCCAAATTACTGCGAAACGTCTGAAGCTACAAATTTAACACCACGAACCTTTCATTCCTCAAATATTCAGCTTAGATTTCCATTTTAAATTGTCTTTCTACGATTTATACTTTACGATTAATTTAGGAAAATGCAAAGACACCGCTTTTTAAAGGTTCGTTTTTTGTTCTTTTATTTTTGACACCCAAATTACAGCAAAATAATCAAAATATTTTGAAAAAATGTCAATAATCTATAGAATATTTTTCAACTTATATAATTAGGAATTTATTGTTTAAATTATGTGCTCATTTACAATACTGTCGTGTCTCGGGATTCAAATATCTCTGGACACTGTGGAATATCTCGTAGTTGTGTAGTTGTGGAGTTCTAGTGGAGTTTTTAAGGAATGCTAGAGATGAAGTTATAACTTCTATGTCTAGATTCCAGTTCCTAGATTTGTTGCTAGGGTTTTTATGAGTCTAACTAGGATTCGTGAGAACTCTGCACTAAGACTAAAACTATCTCGGATTAGCGACTAGCTAGGACTCAGACACTGACTTTTTAGGAGTCCTAAATCTCCTTATATTACCTAAACATCCTAACTTTTCCTAATCATTAAGTGATTAGGCAGATTTACATATTCTCAGTCTTAATGACTTACATACATAAACATGTATAAAACAATAAGGGCTAACATAATATAAACAATATTAATTATACATAACATAACAATACATTTACTTCAAATTGAATGAAAAGTAGTATTGATTTATTGCAATTTATAATGAAATGTATTTGATGCAATTTTCGCAATGAAAGAATGAAATTTATAATTAACATCTTTATTAATTAATTTATGCATACTCATTATTTTTATGAATTAATAAAAATTTTACTTTTCAATCAAATAAAAAAATGATTTTAATTTCTTATTAATATATGAAAATGTTAATTTTATTGGTCTATTAAAGACCAAAAAGCTATTGAATTTTTTGATTATTTTTGTAAAATTAAACTACTTTTCTTTTTTCTACATACTTGTAACAAATTTTTAACTTTATTTCACATTCTATGAATTTTTTTTAATATATATTTCAGTATAGAAACTATAGAATTCATGTATAAATTTGAAAGAAGCAACGAAATGTTTTGATTTTTTTAACAATTTTTATTCGCACATTAAGGACCAAAAATCTATTGAATTTTTTGATTATTTTTGTAAAATTAAACTACTTTTCTTTTTTCTACTTACTTGTAACAAATGTTTAACTTTATTTCACTTTTTCTGAATTTGTTTTATATATATATTTCAGTATAGAAAGTATAGAATTCATGAATTAGTTTGAAAAAAGCAACGTAAACTTTTAATTTTTTTAACAATTTTTGAATTTCTGATTATTTTTGTAAAATTAAAGTATTTTCTTTATTTTTACATATTTGTAACAAATTTTTAACTTTATTTCACATTCTATGAATTTTTTTATATATATTTCAGTATAGAAACTATAGAATTCATGTATAAATTTGAAAGAAGCAACGAAATGTTTTGATTTTTTTAACAATTTTTATTCGCACATTAAGGACCAAAAAGCTATTGAATTTTTTGATTATTTTTGTAAAATTAAACTAATTTTATTTTTTCTACATACTTGTTACAAATGTTTAACTTTATTTTACTTTTTCTGAATTTGTTTTATATATATTTCAGTATAGAAAGTATAGAATTCATGAATTAGTTTGAAAAAAGAACGTAAACTTTCATTTTTTTTTTTTAAATTTTTGAATTTCTGATTATTTTTTGTAAAATTAAACTACTTTTCTTTTCTCTACATTCTTGTAACACATTTTCAACTTTTGATTATTTAACAATTTTTATTCGCTCATTTACGACCAAAAAGCTACCGAATTTTTGATAAATTTTGTAAAATTAAAGTAATTTCTTTATTTTTACATACTTGTAACAAATTTTTAACTTTATTTCACACATTTTTTATATATTTCAGTATAGAAATAATGAATTAATTTAAAAAACAATACATTTACTAAATTAAACTACTTTTCTTTTTTCTACATACTTGTAACACATTTTCAACTTTTGATTATTTAACAATTTTTATTCGCTCATTTACGACCAAAAAGCTACTGAATTTTGGATTAATTTTGTAAAATTAAAGTATTTTCTTTATTTTTACATACTTGTAACAAATTTTTAACTTTATTTCACACATTTTTTATATATTTCAGTATAGAAATAATGAATTAATTTAAAAAAGGAACGAAAACTTTTGATTATGTAACCATTTTTATTAACCAATTTAGAACCAAAGCGACCAAAATTGATGATTGAGTAACGATCATTTGGGGTATGGCTGGATGATTCGTTCGATTTGCAGAAGTCCATCAACGTCATCTGCAATGAATAGCACGTTTATAATAAAAGAAATGTATTAAAGTTTCGTTTTTGTACATACTTTCGTATAGAAAGATGAGCTCTTCCAAGGTAGAGCAATTGATTCCAGAACTAATGCAGTAACCCAAATCGTCGCGAAATATCCTATAATGCTTAACGTTTTCAAGCGATTTCACGGACAAAGCGAAAGGATACTTCTTCTCGCATTTCCTCACCAAAAACGTGCCAACATCCTTCTTCATGAGAATCTCATCGCTCATCTCGCGACTCACGTTTCCAAAATACCATCTACATAATAAAAAAAAAAAAAAAAACGGTTGTATATTTAGTAAAATCGAATGTTTTTTGTATAGTTTACGGTTTGTAGTTGAGAAGGGATTCCTGCTCGACGATGGCGCCATCTATGTACCCGATGAGTGAGCTGGTGAGGTTCTTAGCTCTGCACTGCCCCAGCTCGTTGCGCATCGTTATCTCCACCTCGAGGATGTCGTCCGGCGAATGCTGCAGGTCTCCGGTATATCTTCGATCGACTCGGAAGAATCTCGTGTTCTTTCGAACGGCGTTCGGTAGTGTACAGTAGACATTCTGCTCGACCTCTGCGGGAATAGATTAGCCCTTTTTTTTCGCGCGACGTAAACACACAAAACTCACTTCTTTCTAAAGTCTCGATTTGTTTCTTCAAACAGCAGAACATCGTCGTCGGACGCACACCCAGAAAATGCGTACAGTTTTTATTTTTTATTACTCGAAAATGTATTGATAATAACAGTGATAAGATTAGATTACTGGAGCATCTACGAGACGGAAACACGGATTTGCATTAATCCAGTTCATTCTTAGTCATCAGATCAATTCTGCAATTTCCATCGAAGATTTAATTAAAATCTTCAATTATTACCGATAATATTAACATTGAAATTCTCGAAACTAAACGACAAATTTATTAACTTTATTTGATTATTGTTATTTAGATAAAATAATTATAGAGAATTTTAGTGACAAATTCGAAATTCATCATACATTTCCAGCAATAATTAATTAATCTTTATAATTAAGATCTAGATTTTGATTGTGTATTAATTTTGTGTTATAAATTTAATTTTTTTTTAATTGTTCATTTCAGTAATTACATTACAAAGTGTGACTGTGGTGAAGAAAAAACTATCCTCGTTTTGCTGGTGGATTGTGAGAGAAACGGAAGGAAAAAATATATTGTGTAAATTACAAAAAAAAAACGGGTATTATCACGGTTGGGGCGTCAATTTACTATTACAGATCAATTCTGCAATTTCCATCGAAGGTTTAATTTAATTCTTCAACTATTACCGATAATATTAACATTGAAATTCTCGCAACGAAACGACAAATTTATTAACTTTATTTGATGATGCACTTGATTATTGTTATTTAGATAAAATAATTATAGAGAATTTTAGTGACAAATTCGAAATTCATCATACATTTCCAGCAAAAATTAATTCATCTTTATAATTAAGATCTAGATTTTGATTGTGTATTAATTTTGTGGTATAAATTTAATTTTTTTTTAATTGTTCATTTATGTAATTACATTACATTTTTCGCGTTGCGTTCCGAGAAAACTATCCTCGTTTCGCTGGTGGATTGTGAAGGAGATGAAAGGAAAAAATATATTGTGTAAATTACAAAAAAAAACGTGTATTATCACGGTTGGGGCATCAATTTACTATTACAGATCAATTCTGCAAATTTCCATCGAAGATTTAATTAAATTCTTCAACTATTACCGATAATATTAATATGAAATTCTCGAAACGAAACGACAAATTTATTAACTTTATTTGATGATGCACTTGATTATTGTTATTTAGATAAAATAATTATAGAGAATTTTAGTGACAAATTCGAAATTCATCATACATTTCCAACAATAATTAATTAATTTTTATAATTAAGATCTATATTTTGATTGTGTATTAATTTTGTGGTATAAATTTAATTTTTTTTTAATTGTTCATTTATGTAATTACATTACAAAGTGTGACTGTGGTGAATAATTGGTTTTAGAGTTGCAATTCGAAATGGGAAAGGAAGACCAACGCGTGTTTCGCTGGTGGATTGTGAGAGAAAAAAGAAGGAAAAAAAGATATTGTGTAAATTATAAAAAAAAACGGGTATTATTACAGTTGGGGCGTCAATTTACTATTACAGATCAATTCTGCAATTTCCATTGAAGATTTAATTAAATTCTTCAATTATTACTGATAATATTAACATGAAATTCTCGAAACGAAACGACAAATTTATTAACTTTATTTGATGATGCACTTGATTATTGTTATTTAAATAAAATAATTATAACAGAATTTTAGTGACAAATTCGAAATTCATCATACATTTCCAGCAAAAATTAATTAATCTTTATAATTAGGATCTAGATTTTGATTGCGTATTAATTTTGTGTTATAAATTTATTTTTTTTAATTGTTCATTTCAGTAATTACATTACAAAGTGTGACTGTGGCGAATAATTGGTTTTAGAGTTGCAATTCGAAATGGGAAAGGAAGACCAACGCGTGTTTCGCTGGTGGATTGTGAGAGAAAAAAAGAAGGAAAAAAGTGTATTGTGTAAATTATAAAAAAAAGGGTATTATCACGGTTGGGGCGTCAATTTACTATTACATATCAATTCTGCAATTTCCATCGAAGATTTAATTTAATTTTTCAACTATTACCCATAATATTAACATTGAAATTCTCGAACGAAACGACAAATTTATTAACTTTATTTGATGATGCACAAATATTGTTATTTAAATAAAATAATTATAGAGAATTTTAGTGACAAATTCGAAATTCATCATACATTTCCAGCAAAAATTAATTAATTTTTATAATTAAGATCTAGATTTTGATTGTGTATTAATTTTGTGGTATAAATTTAATTTTTTTAATTGTTCATTTATGTAATTACATTACAAAGTGTGACTGTGGTGAAGAAAAAACTATCCTCGTTTCGCTGGTGGATTGTGAGAGAAACGGAAGGAAAAAATATATTGTGTAAATTATAAAAAAAAAACGGGTATTATCACGGTTGGGGCGTCAATTTACTATTACAGATCAATTCTGCAATTTCCATCGAAGATTTAATTTAATTCTTCAACTATTACCGATAATATTAACATTGAAATTCTCGAAACGAAACGACAAATTTATTAACTTTATTTGATGATGCACTTGATTATTGTTATTTAGATAAAATAATTATAAGAGAATTTTAGTGACAAATTCGAAATTCATCATACATTTCCAGCAAAAATTAATTAATCTTTATAATTAAGATCTAGATTTTGATTGTGTATTAATTTTGTGTTATAAATTTAATTTTTTTTTTTTAATTGTTCATTTATGTAATTACATTACAAAGTGTGACTTTGGTGAATAATTGGTTTTAGAGTTGCAATTCAAAATGGGAAAGGTAGACCAACGCGTCTTTCGCTGGTGGATTGTGAGAGAAAAAAGAAGGAAAAAAAGATATTGTGTAAATTATAAAAAAACGGGTATTATTACAGTTGGGGCGTCAATTTACTATTACAGATCAATTCTGCAATTTCCATCGAAGATTTAATTTAATTCTTCAACTATTACCAACAATATTAACATTGAAATTCTCGAAACGAAACGACAAATTTATTAACTTTATTTGATGATGCACTTGATTATTGTTATTTAGATAAAATAATTATAGAGAATTTTAATGACAAATTCGAAATTCATCATATATTTCCAGCAAAAAATTAATTAATTTTTATAATTAAGATCTAGATTTTGATTGTGTATTAATTTTGTGTTATAAATTTATTTTTTTTTAATTGTTCATTTCAGTAATTACATTACAAAGTGTGACTGTGGTGAATAATTGGTTTTAGAGTTGCAATTCGAAATGGGAAAGGAAGACCAACGCGTGTTTCGCTGGTGGATTGTTAGAGAAAAAAGAAGGAAAAAAAGATATTGCGTAAATCATAAAAAAAAAACGTGTATTATCACGGTTGGGGCGTCAATTTACCATTGCAGAATAATGATGGAATTATGTTGGATGGATGTGCCGAATGTGTGCCAATAATAACAACGTTAAAATACGGTTTTGTGTGTGTGTGTGTAGTTGAATTGTGTAGGCAAGAGTGGATTGGATAATGATGTGATCACCATCACGATCAAAGTTTTGCACGAACGCGCACTTTTTTCTTTCATTCTTTCTTTCTATCTTCGTTCGCTGTTTTCTTACAATTATTTGGAATCGTTGAAAAAGGGAGAAGAATCATCGAATAAAGATGAAGATATATATATTATATAGTAGATAGATAGTGAAGTGATCGAAAAAGCGGTGCAGATTTCTTGCGCGGCGCGAGATTTGTATTGAATGCGATTTTTACCGAGAAGCGGGGATTAAAAATGCATAAGCTACAAATCGCTAATTAACAATGGGCCATAAAGCGACGTGTAATGACGTGCAAAAAGTCGAAAAGGGAATGCTCGTAACCTGGATATTCGATCGTAAATCAACCCGGTCGACTTTGTCGGCTGCGGCGCTCGAATGGCTCATTGTGTATTAATTTTAATACACGGATTCTGGAAGGATTCTTTTCTCTCTTTGCTCTCTGTTATACTCTTTCTCTTCATCTCGTTTTCATTCCCAAGAGTGCGTGTGCGTGCGTTATTGATGGATGGACAGATGTTGCCGAAGAGATGTCTCGTGGATGTCGGAGCGAAAAGAAGAAAGAAGTATACTTGAGATAGAGAGTGAGAGAAAGGGTGAGGTCGGTTCTCGTTGTCCACACATTAGCGGTCGTGTACATGACAAGGAACAAAGCCAGAAATAAATTGGACATCCCGAGCGAACAGCGAACACATTTTTATAACCGTATCAGATAGGAAAGCGCAGCATTAATCATCGGCCCTTTCGCCCATCTCGTAGGCCAAACAACTCTATAAAACATAACGCACTTCCTAGGTCTGCACTTAAAAGGCGAGAAGAAGAAATACGTGTTCAATTAATTTTTTGAGAGGTCAATTTTTCTTTCATTTTGACACCGACATTACAGTCAAAGATCTGAAGCTACAAATTTAATACCACAAACCTTTCATTCCTGAAATATTTAGTTTAAATTTCCTTTAATAATTGTCTTTCTACGATTTATACTTTTCGATTAATTTACGAAAATGTGAAGACACTGTCTTTAAAATGTTCATTTTTCTTCTTTCATTTTTTGATACGCAATTTACAGCCAAATTCCCGAAGATACAAAGATTATACTATAAACCTTTCATTCCCCAAATATTCAGCTTACATTTACATTTTAAATTGTCTTTCTACGATTTATACTTTTCGATTAATTTAAGAAAATGCAAAGACACTACTTTTTAAAAATTCATTTTTCGTTCTTTCATTTTTGATACGCAAATTACAGCCAAATGCCCAAAGATACAAAGATTATACTATAAACCTTTTATTCCTCATATATTCAGCTTACATTTCCATTTTTAATTGTCTTTCTACGATTTATACTTTTCGATTAATTTAAGAAAATGCAAAGACGCTATATTTTAAAGGTTCGTTTTTCGTTCATTCATTTTTGATACGCAAATTACAGCCATATGCCCAAAGATACAAAGATTATACTACAAACCTTTTAATCCTCATATATTCAGCTTACAT